TACAGCTGGCTCCCTCTTGGGTATGTTTCAGAAATTACAAGGTCTCAAAGAACAAGGGGGAGGAGGAGTGCTATTACTATTATTACTATTATTTATTTTTTCCCTCATTAATGTTCTTTTGGAATGATGAATATTGTGTAAAGGAGAAAATAGTTTTCTGTGTACAATAGCTTAAACAGCCCAATCTTAATTAAATGCTTAGGAGGTAGAAATAAGATACATAAGCGCTAACTTGCAATTAGACATAATTCCTCTTTGTTGGCGATATGCATGCTTTTCTTTTTCAAAGAGATATACTTCATTTTTATTTAATGTAGTAGAGAACATTTGTGGCATGTAAATTTATATTTGTTCTTTATTGTAAATTTATACATAATTTTAAAAGCTCAAATCAAGCTTATTAAATATAAATATATATATATTGCATTTTTTGATGAAAAACTAATGTATTTACAGAATGTGATGAAATTAAATATGAAAATGAAAATTAATCTAGAACACTGATTCTTCCATATGACACTCAACACGCTCCCAGATCTTCTTTGTGTAGTATGCATAAAGTTGAATTTTAATAGGTAATTTGGAAATGTTCCAGCCAGATTCTAGAAAAGGAACATTTTGTTCTGTACTCTGTTTTTGCAAGGCTGGAATCTACGACCCTTTATCTAGAACTAGATACACTGGCCAATGACTGTCCTTAATTTCTTTGCAGACATTACTACATGCAAGTCAGTTTTGCTTGTTAGACTATGGAGTAATACGTTGCAGGGTTACCATGAATGCTACATGATTATATAATTTTATTCTTGTAGAGATTCTATTAGTGCTTTGGACAAACACTATGCTTTTGCGAAAGCAATGGCTGTGCTGTTCTAGAGTACTTATATTATGTAGAGAACCACTGTATGCAGTCATTTTGTATTCTAGCTTATGTTGCTGCCTTTTGAGAATCCTTTTACAGTCTCCCCCCCTGTTGCCAGGCAAAACTCAAAATACTAGCAGCTGATTGGCTAACCTTTTCAGCTACTCAAGAGCTGCTCACATGAGTTTACGATTATGGGCTAATCCACAGCAGCTATGCTAATACTTTCTTTGTTGCCATGCAGCAGTGATCTCACTTAAGGGAAAAACATGGGGGAGGGGAGGGGAGGGGAGGGGAAGGAAAACTACCTCATTGGTAGAGCAAGGATCCTTTTGGGTATCATTTTAAGATCCAGTGGTACACTCCTTTTACCATATAAGCACTTACAACTACAATGTGGGGTAGCTTATTACTAAGGGGGGGGGAGCAATGACTTGAGGAATCTTTTGTGGTTGTGGTGATTTTATACAAAAGGATAGAATGTTTAGCATATTACTGTGACTTCTTATGGAAGGAGAATGTGTGGTGTTTAGATACAACAGTACTATTCACTACTATTTATGCATTTGTATACTTTTCTAAAGTGAGCATTAGGCGCTGTACTGTAAAACATCATTTTCTTGAAGGAAAGCTGTTGAATTCTCCTGTGATACTTCTTTATTTGGCACACAACCAATAAGGGCATATCCATAAGAGGTGTGTTTGGATGCATTGAATCAAACCAAACAGCACTGGAACATAAACTTCATTAAAATACCAGTTGTCTCTGGGGCAGTTTGAGAATCCTCGCTTACACCAGAAGAGATCAAAACTCTCACAATGCAGTATATTTTTAGATACTACTGCCTTGTGTACATGCAGAAATTAGCTTAACTTTCTTATGAACTTGGTCTTGTGAATCATAACACCATTTTTGAAGAGGCTTAAAGTATGGAAGTTGTTACTCACTGAATAAGATGAGTATGATCTCCCAGAATCAAATGAATATACACCTATTTTCAGGTAAGAAAACAATTTTACCATTCCTCTGCTCTTCCTAGAACCAGAAAACATATGAAAGAGAACTGCTGATTGGCTTGCACGAATATGGCCAAATTATCTCAAGTGCTCTGTGTGATCTAAATCCCCAGCAGCTTTGTGTGTCCTATTTCCTTCAGTAGTCTGAGTTCTATTAAGTGGTACAGTGTGCACCCTTGTGGATGTGGATTGAAATTGTACTGTAAAATCTGTCTTTACTGCATATGATATATAGGTAGCTTAGCAAACCATCTTTCATTTGTTGTCTTATTACTTAAACATTGCATAATGGACAGGGTTGCATGCCTTCAACAAAGATCTGGATCCTTTGGCAAGATAGAGAAATTTCCATGTAAATAAGTGAATGACAAAATAAAGATAAAATTACAATTATTTTGTTAAGTGTTTTAGCTTCTATGATTATCGGTTGCAGGTCACATAATATGGCTGTCATGATAAGGCTTAAATATTTTTGTGTGACAGTCAAAATATCTTAATGATAAATGCAAATTTAAATAGGTCTAAGGCAGCCAGCCAGAACTTCAATAATGTTCTTCAGGAAACCTTTTAACTGTTGAATTTGTTAACTCATCCTGCACAATGAAAATCAGCTTATATACATCCATCCTGTTAGGAAAGTTATGTATGTATAACAGTTTTTGTTACATAAATAACAAGTTGGCAAGTTGTGGTGGGAGAATGCAATATCAGTTTACAATACTTGTTTCAATGTTTGTTCGTTCGGGGCCATTTGGCAAATGTGAGTTTCTTTTTTAAAAAATTGTGGCAGAATTACAAGATGAGCAATTTGGTGCATGTTCAACTAAATGGTTTAAGGAGTTTTGCACAGACAAAACCATTTTTAAAAAACATCCCCTCCCAAGGTCTGTTTTGAACATCACATTAGACCACAGTTTAAATAAATGTTAGAATAAAAAACCTATTAGTGTTCTGTGTGAACTCAGTTTGGTACCATAATGATGCTTTGTTAACAATGGTTTGTGTGTGGAAAATAAACCATGGTTTGTTGCTGTTTTACTGACTTTAATTATGGTCCAGTATTGCATGTGAGCTTTGGCACCTCCTTAACTGATTTAAGTGTGGTTTGTTTCATTGACATGTCCAAATCACCCACTAAGCAATGTAGAGACTAGGGAAGAGTTTCTAGAAAATGTAATTGCTCTCAGCAACTCTTATTTTACATTTCCCGAGGATGACATCACTGGCTGATATAATAATTTCCCTGTTCCATTCCTGCTTCGATTTGCTTCTGCGGCTTGAGAGGGAATTGAAAACTTAAATGGAACTTCTTTGAACTATAGCTTTGGAGATGTTTCGACTGATGGGTGATTGATTGGCTTTGGTTGGCAAATTAATGTGGTGATGAAGTGCTGTCCTAAAAACAAATGACTTTATCCAAGAATAGCCATAATTCTTGATAGTGACACACAAAAATAAAATGTAGAAACCCAAGAATGGGTGTCAAATATGGGGGGAAGTTGAAAATGATGTTCTGTGCCATTACAGTCACTATAGCAAACTGGTGAAACTACTTAAGTGTGTATTAAGCTGCCTTTCAACCCTGTTGACAGCAGAGAAATCTGGTAATTCCAATGTAGGTGATCCTAACTAAACAGAATGAATTCATGGTAACAACTGGTGATTGGTTGAGAGAAGAAAAATAAGAAGTGTGATTGCAGAGGAAAGGACTAGAAGAAGCTACAAAGGAGCATGGGCACTTCTTTCTTGGAGGAATAGGTGGGGAAAGCAACTATTTGATGACAGTTGCAGAAAATCAAGTTTCCCATACCCTTGTTCTCACAGACAATCCATGGAGGAGAAATGGTGATGTGGTGAGGCTGTATCAGATGTTAAGCACCACAAAGGGTTCGGGGAAGTTGGGTGGAGAGAGAGCTAAAGGCAGGAAGTAGGTGGGATGGAATGAGAGCAGAGTATGACAAGGCAAACCATAGTTTCTTTGACCATCTGTGGCTTGGCTGTAACATGGTATGAACCAAGCCTATGTGAACTCCAAAGTTCCTACATATGTCTGACTACTTCAGGAGTTATGTTCTGCAAAAGAGTAAATTAGAAAAAAAATATGTTAATTATATATTTTTCATACTGAAAAATATTTGTTTTCATACTGAAAACCATATTTGTGTACTGACCTTTGTGGGTTATTTTTTAAGTCAAGATGGTAAATAAAACACCAAGGAAAGGGCACATTTCAAATCATCATGTTTAATCTAGTTCCCATTTTTTGCATAAAACATACAGTGGTACCTCGGGTTAAGTACTTAATTCATTCTGGAGGTCTGTTCTTAACCTGAAGCACCACTTTAGCTAATGGGGCCTCCTGCTGCCGCCGCACCGCCAGAGCACGATTTCTGTTCTCATCCTGAAGCAAAGTTCTTAACCCGAGGTACTATTTCTGGGTTAGCAGAGTCTGTAACCTGAAGTGTATGTAACCCAAGGTACCACTGTATTTCCTGGGGGAAGATGCATTTTGCTGTGACAAATTATTCTGTTACAATTAATTTTTTTAAAAAATGGTATTAAATTTATTATTTATTACCTTGGGAGCATACTTCAAAGCTTTTAGTCATGCAGCCTCGTGCATTTTGTATATGTGTGTGTGAGTGTATTTGCTTTAGAAGAACAGTTGGGAAATTAAAGATTTCTGTTTGATTCTTATATGAAGGACAGCAGGATCACATACTTGAAGGTTTGAAGTGCTTAGAACTTTCCAGAATCAACAGCTGGTAGTTAATGGGCAAAATAGTGTTTGCTCATGACAAGGAAACCAAAGACCCATATTAAATATTCATAATTTACACAATTTATGATCTGCTGTGTCACAACATCCACAAAGGATGTTGATGTGAAGGGAACATGTGTAAAACGCTTGTTCCTTTTACAGTGAGAAGTGTAGTGTTTGTAATGGTTTGTTTTTATAAGTGCAGGAATATAGACTTTTTTTGCAATAACAATAAATGTATACCAGTGCTCTTGATGTACCAACCACAGCAAAGCCAGAAAAATGGAACAAGGTGATCTTGGTAAAGTGTGTCTGTGTTGCATTAACATTCATTTTTCTTAAAAATGTATACCTTTACAGAATCAAGATGGAAAACAATGAAGAACGTCAAAGAAAGATTTTTAAGGCCCGCAAAACCATGAGAGCAAGTGACAGGCAGCAGCTTGAGAGTGTCTATAAGGTAAAGGAGGAACTTCTGAAAACCACAGATGTCAAGTTGTTAAATGGGAAACATGAAAACGGGGATTCAGATCTTAATTCCCCGTTACTCATTTCTGAATGTACTGAGGGCAAAGAAGTGAACGGCATAGAAGATTTATGCCTTGACTCCGAAGGACAAAAAATGGACTCTGAAGAACTCATGGATGCCAAAAGTCCAGATGTGAAAGAGAACCAGGTTAGTGACCTGACTCCTAAACTTGAAACCCTGACCCCTGAGAACATTGTTTCTGAGCAAGAACGTGAGGATGCTAGCACTGCTCCAGGCTCTGAACCTGAAAATCAGGTGCTTGACTGTAATATTGATAATGACTTACAGGACGAAGTCAAAGTCAATGATGATTTGGACCACAAAGATAATTGTATAAAAGACGTTTTGGACCAGAAAGCCACACCAAGCGAGCCTGAAGAGGAAAGCAAAGTAAGCTGTGATATTAATGACAGCTCAGTAGAACCAGTAGAAAAAAATGAGTTAGCTCTTGCTCCTGATACACCTATGGAAGAAGAAAAGAGTACCAAGGAAACTCTTCTAAAAGAGAACATTGATGAGGAAGCAATATCTAGTAGTATTGATACAGATGTAAATCCAAAGGAGGAAGCTACTCCATCTGCAGAACCTCTAGAGACCAGCACTCAAAAAGCTGTAGAAGATGAACCAGCAGAAAACATTTTGGGAAATGCAGCCACAATGGAAACAGAGGAAATCATTCCAATTTTAGAAAAGCTGGCTCCAGCAGGTGAATTAAGTTGTTTCCCCAAATCTACTATGCTTCCAGTAGAAAATCCTAACTTTGATGCAGAAGATAAAGCAGAAAACCCATTAAATTCTTTAGCCAAACATGAAAGCAGCGAAAGTTTGCCCAAAGAAGCTTTCTTGGTACTTTCAGATGAAGAGGAACTCTGTTCTGTTAAAGAAGCTGAAGTGATAATGCCGAATGATTCAACCCCTTCAGGTGAGTGGTATTTTTTCTTCCTTTCTTTAAAAAATAAGTCTTTTCAAGACTGTTCTGAATTATCTTCCTGTGTTCTTGGAAATTTGCTTGCTTGCTTTTTTAAGGGAATGTGCTATTCAGCAGTGGACAAGTTAATGTTAAATTTAGTATGAATTTTATCTATTGCTTTTATGCTAGATTATTAAAGGATGGTTTCAAGAGTTCTACAGAGCAAACTGCTGGTTTACCTGGAACAATTCCTGTCTGAAAGCTGTCCTAAACATGTATGACATATGCTACTGGTTACTACTTGTGGTTTCTAGTTACAACACATGGATAATAGAAGAAGCTTGATTTTGTTGCTGTTAACAAGTTCTTGGCTTTATGGAATATTTGAATGCAGTCGGACTGGGTTTTATTAGTTCTAGTTTCGCCTTCCCTACTCAATGTCTACTTAGCTATTTTGTGAATCACTTACTATAAATCTTCTCAAAGCATTTTAACAATAAAGCCATCAACATTAAAACATATATAAAACACTTTCATATGTAAGAGCAATTTCAAATCCAATATAGATATAGAAATCTCACTCCCCATTCTGCCAGCTGCAATACTTCAGTGACTATTTCCAGATCAAGGTTTGTTGTGGAATTTGGTGCTGTTGATTCACACAAGATTTTCACATTGTTCACATAATATCATCATGAAAAGTCAACCTGTATTTTTTAACATTTAAAATTGGAATTTCCTCTTCCTGCAGAAATTCCATTAAGTAAAAACAAGCCGTTACCATATGAGCACAACCTAGTTATTTTGTTACCAGCAGTCTAAACAATAGGAACTTGCCTATTTCACTAATTACTATATGCTGAAAACATGTCTGAATTTCCACTACCCAGTTCTGGGGATCTATATTCTTAAGATTGCAACATATGTGAGGTTTTAACTAGTATGTGGCGGGCTAGATATGTTTTTGAAAATGCCTGCACACAAGTACAGAACTACACATGCACCCATAACAGGAAAAGGCAGCAGAGGACAGGGAAGTAGTGGTTGAGGAGAGAGGCCAGAGAACAGTGTAAATATTTTATCAAGGACTGTACATCGGTGAAAGTGAGAATAGTGGAATACCTATGAAAAAAGTCTGAAACATGAAGTGTGTCACATTCCAGTGGTGCTCACAGAAAAAACTAAATCCAAACAATCAGTTTCTGATACAAAGTCCCTGTCTAGAAGCATGCTATATATGCTATTTCCTTTCCCTTTTGAAGAAAAGGGATTCAGTGCAAAGTTGTATTTTATAGACTTTCACCACCATCTTGATAAATTTTGAAGCCATAATACAGGTGCTGTAGATCGTTCAAAAGTTGTGTAGCTATGGCCTATACAATCTGCTGATACTCATCATCTTCAAGGGTGCTCACGAGTCAGTTCTTGAGGTTCAATGGATTACAGTGGTCAGATACCAATTATTGAGGAAGAGGGCAGAATTGACTTACCTGTAGCTGATATGCAGGACTTCCGACAACAAGCACCGCCTGAACACCAAGTAGCAAACTTCGATGTGCACTGCAGGCAGCAAAATTGCTTTAGCAGTTAGTATGAACTCACCTTCCCTCAAATAAAGAGGACCACCCATCTTCTCTGCCTAATCTGGATTTATATTATTTCATTTACCCTCACTCACCGTTACAGGGTTTAGACACTGGTTCACAGTGGAGGTAGCTGCCCTGGGATGAGCAGAAGATGAAAATGCAGTTGGGTATCATCAGCATACTGAGGAGTGTATGGACATAAATTTGACCACAGACTTCATGTAAATGTTGTGTTGGGGACAGTATCAAACACTTGAGGAATGCAGGACAGTATCTCATAATTCTATATCCTGAGACACTAATTGGTATGAAATTACTGTATAAAATCTCTAGACCTTTACAAGCCCAGAAGAACAAATGGTCAGTATTTTCAAATTTAGTTGAGATATTTTGGATCACAGCTAGACTTTGCAATCAGTGAAACTAGAATGGTCTCTGTAGTTCAGTCTGCTTTGATATTATTTCCACAAAGAATGCCTCAGGCCACAGCCACTTCCCACTTAGTGCTCCAAAACGTAAATGAGATGGCCACAATCTTGATGTAAAGTTGACTTCTTCAGCAATAGTAGACACTGCTTTTTAAAGATTAATATCGCATGCCTCTCCCAAAAAATGGCACTGATATTTTCCTTAACTCTTGGAACTATGTCTTATGACTGGATGCAACTAGCCAATGGAAAGAATAAAAACAAACTAAAAGGAACAGCTGTGATGAGCAGGTGCCCTGATGTCATGGCATCTAGTTTGAACAAAATCCTAACAGTTTTATACATAAAACAGCTGTCTGTTTTTGAGCTCCACTAGTTGAAAGGCACTCGGAACAGCTAACAATTTAACATGTAACAAAAATCACATGCAAAAAACCAAGTAGCCAAGGTAAGTAAGTCTTAGACGAAATCAGCAAGTTCTAAAACACCTCGTCCAGGAAAAGGTTCTCCATCTCATGCCAAAAAGTCAACAAACACTGCCCTGGAAGTGCATTCCAAAATTGGGGCCTTTTCAGTACATCACCCCAGCTTTGGTCATGATCCTTTTCACATTCAGTGGTGGAGGAACAGTTAAGAAGTGCCTTTGAGGAATATCTCAGCAGTGAACCAGTGACATATCTGGACATACTTTCTGGGTTAGTGTACTTCTACAACCTGTTTTACTATATTTAGAAGAAATCAGATGAATGATACTTTGGATGCAGTGGGTGCAGGTAAGAACATCTCTACTTCCATCATCAGCAAGCCACAAGTCAAATGTATTCCATATATGTTTGGTTGGATTCAGCTGAGGGTTGCACCATTTGTCTTCAAGCTGTCATGATGCTGTCATGATGCTTTATTCTCTGCAATCCCCCAATAAACCAGAGGGTTGCCCAACTGCAGCTACAACAGAAGCACCTATTTGCATTTTCTTTTGAAATACTGGATTACAAATCCTTCATAATTCTGGACAAGGTGAGCTCTGTGAGCTTCTGAGGGCAGATCATTTTGACTATTTAGGAGTTGCAGTTCTGGTTAGTGTCCTGGCATTCTAACCCTGTATCAGAAAATAATCTATCCATGATAAATGTATCATTGTTACAACTGATCATCCTATTTTTGGCTTGTACAAACAAATTAATAGTCTATGTCAACAGTATATTAGGAAAGTTCTATGGCAACTATCAAATACTAAGCTAAATGCTTCAGTGTGTTGCTGTGGATTTAGATGTTTCTCAGAACTGCTTTGGAAAAGACTTTCACACAAGATGCACACTTCTTTGTATACATTTAGATTTTGCTAGACATCAAAACAGGCAGTATGCTAACAGATTTTCCAGGCCCTCCTTAGCACCTAGTGCAAAGTGCTTGAAGTCACAGTTGGTTAAACTTCATAGGGGATACATGGCTGAAAGGATACAATCCCTATAGACTACACCTGTACACTTACTTTCTGCTGGAGCTGATTGGTCTAGAATTGCCCCACCTTGCACTATCCAGCCAGGTTTGTAGTGTCTCCATAAATAATTTAGATATATGTACTTGCTGGTACTAGAAATACTGTATCCAGCGTCCACTGAAAAAAGATTTTGAATGGACATGGCCCATGACTGTGCTGCTCCTCCTCCTTACCTGAGCACCATAATATACTGTCTTCCTCCATTGCCTAATTGGGTTGATGTAACTTCTCATTCACAGTCACTTGCCAGGACCTATTATGGACAGTCAATTCAAATTATACTCAATATTTCCTCCTCCTCTCAAAAGTAGCCATTAGCATTCAAAAAACCTTGCAGTCAACACTGTAGGCATGGAAAAACTTGGCCCTCCAGCTGTTTTGGGACTATAGCTCCCATCATCCCTGACCACTGGTCCTGTTAGCTAGGGATGATGGGAGTTGTAGTCCCAAAACAGCTGGAGGGTCAAGTTTGGCCATGCCTGCGGAAAACACTAAAACATCCACACTCTACATAACCAAGATTCACCATAAAAACCTACTAAGTGAATTTGATAATTCATGTAAGATCATCCATGAAAGCATGTTGGCTTCACTGTGTTTTTTTCACATTTCATTGTCATATGTATTTGTCAGGAGCTTCTCCTACACTCGAGTAGGACCCTGGCAGAGAGACATGCCCGACTGGCATGTTCTCTCCCTCCTGGTCGATCGGGAGCTTCAGAAGCTTTCTTCTGCCCGAACATCACAGTGACTGATGCCAACAGACTAGGGATCCGCAGAGTGTTCGCAGTTTGCATAACAGAACTCCGCAACTCAGCATTTTGGCTAATCTACTTTATTTACATATAAACACACACGGAGCACTGCAACATGGCTCCCCCTCTTTCTAGCATCAGACAGCAAAGAGGAAAAGAGCAAAGGACAATAGTCCCACTTCACGGAACACAGTAACACAAACATCCTGTCTCTGTCACTTCCCACACTGTGGAGTCAAAACATACACCGTCATGTGATGGACAACAACCCCATGACTGCAATCACGGAGCAGGAATTCTAACAGTATTGATGGATATGGTACTTGGCTACCTTATCAAAAAAGTTCTTACATAAAACTTTTTTTTACAAAAGGACTAATTTATATTTTCCAAAAACTATGTAAGCATATTTAAGGACTGCTGTGACCTGTATAGGTTCTGCCTTGTTAAGAGACTTCCATTCCTTCAAGAGGTGCTTAGCTGGCATTGAGGAATCCTGAAATTGATCTAGAACCAGGGTTGTTGACTGCCTCGCTTTTTTTTATTTTAATAAATAAAACTTTTTAAAATAATCGTTTAGTAACTATAAAATAAATATGCTGATTTAATAAATAATAATAAATGAATGGCAGAACATGAGGTTGAAATGGTAGAGTTGGAGAGAACGGATGGTGAAATTGAAATGTATTACATCTCTGGTCTCCACCTTGAAATCTTCATAGACTTATCTCTCATTAAAGTAAACGCATTCCTTTTGCATGAAGGAAGGATCAAGTGGCAGTTACTTTTGCTTTCTAGGCAACACTTTGGTCAAAAGAAGGGGGGGGATAGCATTCAGAACTCCCTTGCTCTTTTAAAAAATTAGAGCAGGCTTTTGTTCTGCCTTCAGGCCTTTAATGAGCAACCTCCCTTCCCTTCTTGAAGCCAGAAAGCAGCTCACATATTGAATGTAAATTTCAACTGGCAGATGGTGAAATCTCTGAGTCATAAATTATAACCCTCTCAGAAATAATTAAGAAACAGAGGCTTTTGCAGACCCCATACCCACCAGGATCTTATGGCTTTTGGGCATGATGTTGATTCCTCCACTCACAATTCACTTAACCTTTTCAGGGTTCCAAGGAGCTGACAGCTTCTTGTTCTCCTGACACACAAAACTTCTTTCAGAACATCAGGGATTAGTCCTCTATTCACTGCCGCCCCCCCCCCCCGAGTGAATTCTTTAGCAAAGAATCATGTTTGGCTATCATTTATCGCCAGATAATTATCTCCATCAGCAGCCTGCTGACAAAAGATGTTCAATCTACCATGTTCCTCCCCTGGAAGTTTGCCTCACTTACTTCTTGGCTCTAGATTCAATCTAGTACATATCGAACTGGGCTCCTTTGGGAGGAAAAGTGGAATGGAAATGTAATAAATATATAGTGTGAATACCAAATCTGCAGGAACACAGATGTCTCCCTAGAATCTGATGCCAGAACTGGATATGATCAGCATACTGATGATCACTCAGCCCAAATCTCTGGTTAATGGTGACCTCCCCAGACATTTCATGAAGATGGTTTCATGTAAATGTTTTACAGACTGGAGGATGAAATTGACCTCTGCAGCTATAGCCAGTAATATCAAAAGCCACTGAAAATGGGGATTAAGATGTCTGTACTCTCCCTGTCCATTTGTCATTTTAGTTTCAAAACAAGGACAGAAATCGGATTGAAGTGAATCTAGAGCATTCTTTTCGGGAAACTCATCACAGTCTCTAGAATTGAGCAATTTGGCTTCATCACACTGTTCAAAATCCATGTATTCTGCTGGATTGCACCCTTAGAACTAATAGTAGATAAGAAACCACTCTTTGTTAGTGTGTGGGCAATCATAATTGGCCCATACACCTTCATGAGGTTGGTGGGGTGGTTGGTGATCTGGACTAGGGCCTGAGAGATTAGGATTCAAATCCTCACTCAGCTGTTAAATTCTTTGAGTGAACTTGGGCTAAGTCCCTGCCTCAGACTAACCTACCTCATAAGTTTGTTGTGAGGAAGGGCCACAACTATGCATGCCACCTTGAAGTCCTTTGGGGAAAGGTGGAATAGAGATGTAGTGCAAAAATAAGATAAGCTACTCTGTAACCAGCTAACAAACTGGTTGTGATGAGAGAGATCTTAATACCTCAGCTACACATGAACATTTGTTCTAAGACCCACACATTTATTCAGATGATTTCTATGCTGCCTATCAGTGCAGACATTCTCAAGGAGGCTCATAACAATAAAAGCCAAACACAGCAAAACATTTACTGTTTAAAAGTTTAACAGATAAAACTGGCAGCACTAAGACTCCTATAGTATTTACAGTCAAGCTTCTGAGAAAATCAGAAAGTCGCTACCTAGCATGAAAAAAAGCCTCTTTGGGGGAAAGAATTCCATAAATAAGGTGCCACAGCTGAGAATGCCCTTTTCCCAGTCACCATCTGCCTTTAAAAATTCTGCTCTTGCTTCACTGTTGATAGTGGAGGCACCTGAAGGTGGGCCTCTGACTGCTACCTCAGTGTTCCTATTTGCTGATACAGAGGTGGTAGTTCTGAAAGTTTGCCTGGAATCAGGATATTTTAAAGTAAGCAGCAGCGCTTTGAATTGCCCTTGTAAACAGTGAAGAGATACTCCCTTTGATTGGTCCCTGTCCAACAATTAACCTGCATTATGAAATAAGCTATGTTAACTTATTCTATGTTAAGCTATGTTAACTCACAGAGATCTCTCTGTGGCTTTTGATGCCATTGGCCATGATATTCTCCTAGAACAGCTCCATAGAATGGAAATTGGGGACATTGTGTTACAGTGGTTCTAGTCTTCCCTATGGGACCAAATCCAGAAAGCAGCACTCTTTGGCCCCGTGGTGGTTACGCTATGGGTGCTACTGCGAGTGGTCATTAATATTGGGGGCGGGCAAGGTGTTAGTACTCTAATTCCCTATAGCATCTGAATCCAGAGAGGCTGTGCAGGCCCTGGATTCATTACCTGGCCACAGTGGTGGGACAGATGAGAGACAACAAGCTGAGTTTGAATCCTGGTGGTTCCTGGTCCAAGAAGGTGGTCAATTGCCTGCCCTGGATGGGGTTGCACTCCCCTAAGGAGAAAATTCACAGTTAGGGAGTGCTTCAAGATCAATCTCCTGAAGCCTCTCCAGATACCGTATTTTTCGCTCTCTAGGACGCACCTTGTTTTAGAGGGGGAGAACAAGGGGGGAAAATCTCCCCCTCTCTGCCCAGTGCCCTTTCAGCAAAGCTGCAGGAGAAACAGAGCCCCTTCCATTTCTCCTCCCACTTGGCTGAAGGGGCACTGCACAGATCTCCCTCTCTGCTGAAGCCGGGAGAGTCTTGCTCTCCCGGCTTCAGCAAAAGGAACCCGAAGTCTCTGGAGCGCAGCGGGACCTCCCGCTGTACTCCGGAGGCTTCAGGCATCTGTCCCTGAAGACTTCGGAGCGCAGCGCGAGTTCCCGCTGCGCTCCGGAGGCTTCAGGTTCCTTTCGCTGAAGCCAAGGAGCCTGCATTTGCTCCATAGGACGCACACACAGTTCCCCTTAATTTTTGGAGGGGAAAAGTGCGTCCTATAGAGCGAAAAATACGGTATGTTCCATGTCCAGGATGTGGGTATCTTTACTTTTACCTATGTTTCATGTGTTTTATTTCTTTTTAGTTACAATTGATTTTTATTATTTTTTGAATGCTTTAAAAACACCCAATTTAAACTTTTTAATTACAAATTTCAATGTTTCGTAAACTGCGTAGAAGTGAATTATTTTTTTAACAAGTGCTATATAAACTTTGTTAAATAATAAACTTCATAAATCCCTGTCACTTCTTTAAGTGATACTTTGGGTTTTATCCTTTCCTAAATACTTCAATAAACCTACAACTGGAATCCCATCTTGCTGAAACTAAAAGTTTTTAGGAAGAGACCTGAAACTTGAGAAAATAAATGTGGCAATAACATTAGTGCTTAGCAGTGAGTGCTTGCATATTGATTAAATGGTAGAATGAGGTTTTAAATGTTTAGAAAACATTGTGATTTACTTACTCGAAGAGTAATGCTAAGGTATTACTGGTTGATGTAACTGTGGGATGAAAGCATCCAGAATGTTAACTAAAGGGTTACTGCTCTCAAGAACTGTAGAACCCTGTGGTGTCATATGCCTGAGACAGTTATGTCAGTTGGTACAGTAATGCCAGTTAGTAGCAGTATTTTGTGTGAGAGCAGCTGAACTACTGTGCTGCTGTCTGCCTCGGAGTTAGTCTGTTATAGTTTTGTCTTAGATACAAATCAATGTAATATGTATTGGTAACGTATGTTACACCTTCCTGCCTTGTATATTTAACAAGTGCAAGTACACTGAGTAAAAGTTACTTATTTAAACTTTAAAAGAGAGTTTTAAAGTTTTTATAGGTGGGAAAAGGGTGAAATGGCCTGGGCTCTCTTTTGCATAACTCTGTAAAGTCTAATTCCCACAGTAACTACGTATTGGTGTATGGGGTTTTTAAACTAAAATTTCAGGTTATTTTTTCTGTGTGTTTAGCTGTACACATAAGAAAGTAACTTACATAACTAGCTGTGAACATCTTTTTCAACACATAACTGGTCAGGCTTTGTAAGGTAAAGTGGTTTATCTTTCTCACAGAAGGCAAAGATGATGTAAAAGAACTGGAAAAAGTAGAAGAAAAGGAGCATGACAAGGAGGAAGAGAGACCACCAGAAAAAGGTATGTATGGCAAAGATGAGAAATAGTTTTGCTGCAAGGAATTGAATTGCTGCATTCCTGTATTCAGACACTGTTGGACGTTGTGTACATCCGTACTACAGTGGTGCCCCGCAAGACGAATGCCTCGCAAGACGGAAAACCCGCTAAACGAAAGGGTTTTCCGTTTTGGAGGTGCTTCGCAAAACGAATTTCCTATGGGCTTGCTTCGCAAGACGAAAATGTATTGCGAGTTCCTGCAGGGTTTTTTCCCTCCCCCCCCCTTTTTCCCAAGCCGCTAAGCCGCTTATCAGCTGATCCGCTAAGTCGCTTAGCAGCTGATCCGCTAAGCCGCTTAACAGCTGATCCGCTAAGCCGCTTATCAGCTGATCCGCTAAGCCGCTTATCAGCTGATCCGCTAAGCCGCTTATCAGCTGATCCGCTAAGCCACTAATAGCGCTAAGCCGCTAATGGGCTTGCTTCGCAAGACAAAAAAACCGCAAGACGAAGAGACTAACGGAACGGGCATGCATACTCCTAAACATTTTGTGAATCTTTCTACTTTTACTGTACAGTGGTGCCTCGCAAGACGAAATTAATTCGTTCCGCAAGTTTTTTCTTCTTGCAAGTTTTTCGTCTTGCGAAGCACGGTTTCCCATAGGAATGCATTGAAAATCAATTAATGCGTTCCTATGGAGACCGCCTTCAGACCAGGTCCAGGGACAGTCTGTCCCCAGACCTCTTCTGAAGGCTGGCGGGGGGAGAAGGACTTTTCTCCCCACCGCCAGTCTTCAGAACAGCCTTCTGAAGGCTGGCGGTGGGAAGAAAAGCCCTTCTCCCGCCGCCAGCCTTCAGAAGAGTTCCCGCAGGGCTGCCTAGGCTGCGGATAGCAGCCTGCTGCCCGGTGCGAGGCAGACATCTGCAGCTTGGGGAGCCCTGCAGGACTTCCCCGCAGGGCTCTCCAAGCTGCGGATAGCAGCCTGCTGCCCCGCACGAGGGGCGCTCTTAAGCAGAGCGCCCCTCGCGCGGGGCAGACACCTGCAGCTTGGGGAGCCCTGCAGGAGTTCCCCGCAGGGCTCTCCGAGCTGCGGATAGCAGCCTGCTGCCCCGCACGAGGGGCGCTCTTAAGCAGAGCGCCCCTCGCGCGGGGCAGACACCTGCAGCTTGGGGAGCCCTGCAGGAGTTCCCCGCAGGGCTCTCGAAGCTGCGGATAGCAGCCTGCTGCCCCGCACGAGGGGCGCTCTTTAGCAGAGCGCCCCTCGCGCGGGACAGACATTCACAGCTTGGGGAGCCCTGCAGGACTTCCCCGCAGGGCTCTGCAAGCTGCGGATAGGGGTAGCAGGCTGCTATCCGCAAGTTGCGGATAGGGGCAGCAGGCTGCTATCTGCAGCTTGGAGAGCCCTGCGGGGAAGTCCTGCAGGGCTCCCCAAGCTGCGAATGTCTGCCCCGCGCGAGGGGTGCTCTGCTTAAGAGCGCCCCTTGCGCAGGGCAGCATGCTGCTATCCGCAGCCTAGGCAGCCCTCCGGGAACTCTTCTGAAGGCTGGCGGGGGAGAAGGGCTTTTCTTCCCACCGCCAGCCTTCAGAACAGCCTTCTGAATGTTGGCGGTGGGGAGGAAAACCTTCCTCCCACCGCAAGTCTTCAAAACAGGTCCGGGAACAGAGGAGAAGCGCTGCGCGCCTTCCCCTCTGTTCCCGGACCTGTCCTGAAGGCTTGCGGTGGGAGGAGGGCTTTCCTCCCCACCGCCACCATTCAGAATGCTGTTCTGAATGTTGGCGGTGGGGAGGAAAAACCCTCCTCCCACCGCAAGCCCCGGGAACAGAGGAGAAGCGCTGCGCGCCTTCTCCTCTGTTCCCGGACCTCCCACCACAAGCCTTCAGGACAGGTCTGGGAACAGAGGAGAAGGTGCGCTGCGCTTCCCCGCTGTCCCAGGAGATTTCCCTATGGGCTTTCGTCTTGCGAAGCAAGCCCATAGGGAAATTCGTCTTGCGAAGCCTCTAAAAATCGGAAAACCCTTTCGTCTTGCGGGTTTTTCGTTTAGCGAGGCATTCGTCTTGCGGGGTACCACTGTATTTATTTTTCCCGATTTGAACTATAAAATGGTGATTTTCTTGAGTCAAAATGAGAGTACATCTAAACATTTTTTAAAGAAAAAAAGCACTGCCTACAAGTATTATATCAATCCTACTAATGATTTTAATTGTTTACAATAATTTCTCAGCTACATTATGTACTTTCCCATTCCTTATTAAAATTTGATTCTTCCTGGTACCTAATTCATCTGGTCAGTTTTGCCATTTTGGCCTAGTCCATAAGGTTTTTTTTTCTGCCATTCTTCCTTGGTAGGTACTGTATTTTCTTTCCATCTCTGAGCTAACAAAATCTGGGCAGCTGTAGTAGCATACATAAATCGTCCCTTCTGGTCATTTGGAATTTCTGCACCTAAAACTCCTAAAAGGAAAACGGTTTCATAGAAAATGTTATATTTAAAAAAAAATTCAACTCATTGTATATCATCTCCCAAAATGCTTTTACTACTTTACACATCCACCACATATAATAAAAGGTGCCCTCTTTCTCTTTACATTTCCAGCATGCATTTGATCTTGATTTATATATTTTGGCTAATTTGCTAGGGGTTAAACAACAACACATCATTTTCATATAATTTTCTTTCAAGGTACAGTGGTACCTCAGTTGTCGAACGTAATCAGTTCCAGAAGACAGTTCAACTTCCGAAATGGTAGACAACCGAGGCGCAAAGGGCGGTCGGCAAAGTCAATGGAGGGAGGGGAACACAGTGAAAGCCGTTTGACTTCTGAGGCGTGTTCAAAAACAGAAGCAATTACTTCCGGGTTTTCGGCATTCCGGTTTCGAAATGTTCGGCTTACGAGACTCTTGAAAACTGAGATACCACTGTATAGCAGGCACGTCCAACTCACAAGAGACTGTGATCTGCTCTCAGTATAGAAATTCTGGAAGTGATCTACCCATGAAGGGGGGGAGCCTAAGTTGCCACAGTTTTTTAAGTTGCCACCTTGGGGTGGGTGGGACATCAATCGCTCACCTATAACGATGTTTGGAGCGGTAACAACTACTTTCGTTTCTTAACTTGCCGGCAAAATACAATTAAAGACCGCCCATTTGACAAAACGGAGGAACAGAGCAACGGAGGAGGGGGGGCGAGGACTTTAAATACATTTAAAATAAAATAAAAGCAGATGTTAAAGTCAATCACTGGACAGGACTTTCTCACCCCAACTGCTGCTGATGTGTGCTGCATGTGCTATTGGGACAAGAGTAGCTGGGAGGCAAATGTGTTTCAAGGCCTCCCTCTAGTCCTCAAACATATCAACTGCCACTTTGTTACAGAATCTCTGGGCTACAACAGACCTCAGAACAACATATTAAAGTCCTCATGAGTATATGTAACATAGTGTTGGCAGTAATTGATGAGGTGGGACCACTGAGTCAACAGTGCAGTAAAATAAGTGAAAGTTGTTATGCCATGCATTTTGTATTCCTTTTAAACTGATAATTTATACCCCACCCATCTGGGCTGGGTTTCCCCAGGCACTCTGGGCAGCTTGCAGCATATCTAAAAACATAATAAAAATATCAAGTGTTAAAAACCTCCTGGTACAGAAATCCCTTCAGATGTTTTCTATAAAAGTTGTGTAATTATTTTATCTCCTTGACATCTGAAGGAAGGGTGTCCATAGGGAGGGCACCACTACTGAGAAGGCCCTCTACCTGGTTTCCTGTAACTTTGCTTCTCGCAGTGAGAGAACCAGATGAATATTTATTTTTCAAGTTATTTGTCTTGAATGAAGAATATATTGGTGGTCAGTAGAGTTCCTTGAAGAGTGTGCTGTATCCTTCTAGGTGAGGCATCAAGAAGAAAGCGTTCCAAATCAGAGGATATGGACAATGTCCATTCTAAACGCCGTCGACATATGGGTGAAGAATATGAAGCAGAATTTGAAGTAAAAATTACAACCAGAGGAGATATTAATCAGAAACTAGAAAAGGTAGAGTTGATTCCCGCTTATCTTGCAGACATTTGGCCTTTTAATTTCAAACACTTCTTTTCCACCAGCATCAACTTGCAAACATTTTGTCTTGAAGATCAGAATATTTGTCTGTGTTATGGTGAATTGAGTGAAAGGAAACTATTGTATTGTTATTAAGTTTCCATTGATCCCATCAGATAGAAATATTTAATACTGGAGTAGACCAATATTTCATATTTAGTTTGGCAACCGTCAGACCAGGAAATACATTCTTCCTCTTTAGCTCCTTATATCTGTGGTGAACACAGAGTAGACCGTGGACCACTGGCCAGTTACTGGCCGGCCGCCTGTTGGTTGTGGGGCCGGTTGTTGTTTTTTTTGCAAAGAATGCTGGTTAAGTCTTTAGTCCTAAGAACACTACTGATCTAACTTTTTAATTTACTAATTAAGAGTGTATACCGAACATCTCTTAAAATGGCTTAAGTAGGATCTTGCTGTATCGTATCAAGATCCTTATGCAATATAATCCTTAACATGTGAGATTAGGAAAGTCTCAGACTAGACTGATAGTATGGCTTGTGGCTTAGGAATGATGAGTGTTGTTGTCCAGCAACATCTGGAGGGTTCTCTAAATGGTATGCCACATGTAGTGCAGCCCTGTGCATGCTTGTTTATATGCAAATCAGTAAAGGTGATTTGTATAATGCACCCCAAAATAATATAATAATCAAAATAATCAAAATATATAAATACAGTTTCATTGACATTGTGGTCAAAACTGGGATAAATATATCCACTTAAATGGCTTGTTGGGAGAGGAAAGTCTTTAGTGGGTGCTGGAAAGACACTAGAAGATGTTGTCTATCTGTAACTTTCTATGTTATATACTAATATAACCCTTATATTTGTGCTCTAAACTATAAGAGGAAATCCCTTTTCAAATGCATTTTGTAAAGAACACAGTCTACAAATAAATATGGGACATAGTTGGCATTTTTGACACTACAAACTAACAAGTATGACTCTTCCTTTAAAACCATTAAGGGTGTGGATCCAAAAAGGACTGCTGAGAGTGACTTCACTTGCTTGCAAACACTGAGATCCAAAAAAGATTTTGCATAGATATGTTTAATGAAATTACATGATTAACAAGCAAAAGCCTAATTATTGACCTTAAGTTTTGTTTAAATACTAAAATAAAGTTTAATTAGATAACCTAATAAAGAGTTATGTAATGCTGAGTGACATACGTGCTAATTGTACTGTATATAAAATGTTAATATTAGCATTTTCATGTGTTTTCGTAGGTCATCCAGCGGTTGCTAGAAGAAAAGTTCAACGCACTGCAGTGTGCTGTGTTTGATAAAAATCTAGCAGATCTGAAAACCAGAGTAGATAAGATTGAATGTAGCAAGAGACATAAAACTGTCCTTACTGAATTACAGGTATATATGCAGATCTGCTTAAGACTTTGTGGCATTGTTTTTCAAAAAATATAAGTAAGGCTCCTGTTGGTGTGTGTAATTGTTCCTTCAGATACTAGTACTCTTTTTTTTCTTTTTTTTGTTTGTTTTGTGTTTGTTTTATCGTTTGTGTTGAAATACAATCTACATATCAGTTTAGTGCTAGTTTTTGGCAAAAGAAAAGGTTCTTTTAGGAAATGCTTGTTAAGCTGTGTTTCATGAGGAGCTACAGCTTAACCAGGCGTGGGTGGCGCTGTGGGTTAAACCACAGAGCCTAGGACTTGCCAATCAGAAGGTCGGCGGTTCGAATCCCCGCAATGGGGTGAGCTCCCGTTGCTTGGTCCCTGCTCCTGCCAACGTAGCAGTTTGAAAGCACGTCAAAGTGCAAGTAGATAAATAGGTACCGCTCCGGCGGGAAGGTAAACGGCGTTTCCGTGCGCTGCTCTGGTTCGCCAGAAGCAGCTTAGTCATGCTGGCCACATGACCCGGAAGCTGTACGCCGGCTCCCTCGGCCACTAAAACGAGATGAGCGCCGCAACCCCAGAGTCGGTCATGACTGGACCTAACGGTCAGGGGTCCCTTTACCTTTACCTTACAGCTTAACCACTCTCACAGAAGAGAAGGGTCTGGCTCTTGGGCAGCAATTATAGAAGCGAATGGAGGTGTAGAGAGGGATAAACTAAAATACTTTTTGAGATTGTATTTGATTTCTCTGTCATATTTCTCTTTTTTTAAGGCTAAAATTGCAAGATTAACTAGACGTTTTGGAGCAGCCAGAGAGGATTCAAAGAAAAGACAAGAAGTAAGGACAGATATTTTTATTATGTTTCTGATTACTGTTTAGATCAAAAAATTACCTTGGTGGTAATCAGATTGGACTTGGTGGTAATCAAATTGGACTTTATTGAAATGACCATAGCTCACAGTGAAGAACTTAAAAGACCACAGTTTTCTTCTTGAAGTAGGAAGGAGAAATAAAGATTAATACATTTATTCAGTTTTATGGACTCAAGCCCACTTCACTAGATGCATGGTGAAATCTTAGTTAACAGGTATATAAAGCAGAAAACAGGATGGCAAAAGTTGAATGTTAATGAGATGCAAAAGTATAGTCTGTGATTGGAATTGCTCTGTTATTTAACACCCAATCTGCTCTGGAGGGGTTTTGGTTGAGATGGCAATGAGATCTCTAATGCCGCCTTCCAAATGGGAAAGCAGAAGTGTCACCAGCAGAAACCCCTGAAATGGGGTATTGAGGGGGCAGAGCCAGAACAGGATCTGAGATCCTGAACTCTCCTACTTCTGCCATGTGACAGCAAACTGCCCCAGTTTAGGCCTCTTCACTGCACCAACCAGGGCACTTACTCAGCAAAGAGGCATTTTATGCCTCCCCAAGCATCCTCCCCAAGCATCCCTCCACCCAATTTTTCAGCCTTGTCTGGTGGGAGTAGTGGGACTCTGGATTTGGCAGTGAAGGATGCTCTGGGAAGCTCTCATACATGCTTGGGAGGCTCTCATAAGATCTTGGATGGCCCTTGTGTGCGTTTAATTTGTGTAATTTCAGTTGGCCAGCCATCAATAACATAAAGCTGCGATTGCGCAAGTTAAATATATGCAAGTTGTGAGTCAGCTGTATAACGAGGTGCTCACAAAGCAGCTTAATAATTTTGGAGTCCTTACAGTAAAAAAGTATACCATGTATGCTTTGTGACTTTGAAGACATAGGTCTCACCTTGGTTTGCGTTACTTTTTAGAATCTACAAAACACACCCCATTCCCCAGGAAAAGCAGTGGCGACACAGGCAATATCAAACAGCGTGGCGTATCGGTAAGCTTTGAGAATATAGCTGTTACACTCATATTGTGGACTTGTGGAACTTGCCTTATGTACTTGGAATGACACATTTGCATAAAAATACAATATATCTTGGCTGATGGAACTGGTTTTCCTGTTCCCATCCGCAGGCGGATAGCAGCCTGCTACCCCTCGCAGCTTGGAGCCCTGCAGGAGTCCTGCAGGGCCCCAAGCTGTGAATGCTGCCCCGCAGGGGCGCTTGCTAAGAGCGCCCCTCGTGCGGGGCAGCACTATCCGCAGCTTGGAGAGCCCTGCGGGGAACTCCGCAGGGCTCCAAGCTGCGGATAGCAGCCTGCTGCCCCGCACGAGGGGCGCTCTTTGCAGAGCGCCCCTCGCGGGGCAGACATTCACAGCTTGGGGAGCCCTGCAGGACTTCCCGCAGGGCTCTGCAGCGGATAGGGTAGCAGGCTGCTATCCGAGCTGCGGATAGGGGCAGCAGGCTGCTATCTGCAGCTTGGAGAGCCCTGCGGGGAAGTCCTGCAGGGCTCCCCAAGCTGCGAATGTCTGCCCCGCGCGAGGGGCGCTCTGCTTAAGAGCGCCCCTTGCGCGGGGCAGGCATGCTGCTATCCGCAGCCTAGGCAGCCCTCCCGGGAACTCTTCTGAAGGCTGGCGGGGGAGAAGGGCTTTTTCTTCCCCACCGCCAGCCTTCGAACAGCCTTCTGAATGTTGGCGGTGGGGAGGAAAACCTTCCTCCCACCGCAAGTCTTCAAAACAGGTCCGGGAACAGAGGAGAAGCACTGCGCGCCTTCCCCTCTGTTCCCGGACCTGTCCTGAAGGCTTGCGGTGGGAGGAGGGCTTTCCTCCCCACCGCCAACATTCAGAATGCTGTTCTGAATGTTGGCGGTGGGGAGGAAAAACCCTCCTCCCACCGCAAGCCCCGGGAACAGAGGAGAAGCGCTGCGCGCCTTCTCCTCTGTTCCCGGACTCCCACCACAAGCCTTCAGGACAGGTCTGGGAACAGAGGAGAAGGTGCGCTGCGCTTCCCCGCTGTCCCAGGAGATTTCCCTATGGGCTTTCGTCTTGCGAAGCAAGCCCATAGGGAAATTCGTCTTGCGAAGCCTCTAAAAATCGGAAAACCCTTTCGTCTTGCGGGTTTTTCGTTTAGCGAGGCATTCGTCTTGCGGGGTACCACTGTATTTATTTTTCCCGATTTGAACTATAAAATGGTGATTTTCTTGAGTCAAAATGAGAGTACATCTAAACATTTTTTAAAGAAAAAAAGCACTGCCTACAAGTATTATATCAATCCTACTAATGATTTTAATTGTTTACAATAATTTCTCAGCTACATTATGTACTTTCCCATTCCTTATTAAAATTTGATTCTTCCTGGTACCTAATTCATCTGGTCAGTTTTGCCATTTTGGCCTAGTCCATAAGGTTTTTTTTTCTGCCATTCTTCCTTGGTAGGTACTGTATTTTCTTTCCATCTCTGAGCTAACAAAATCTGGGCAGCTGTAGTAGCATACATAAATCGTCCCTTCTGGTCATTTGGAATTTCTGCACCTAAAACTCCTAAAAGGAAAACGGTTTCATAGAAAATGTTATATTTAAAAAAAAATTCAACTCATTGTATATCATCTCCCAAAATGCTTTTACTACTTTACACATCCACCACATATAATAAAAGGTGCCCTCTTTCTCTTTACATTTCCAGCATGCATTTGATCTTGATTTATATATTTTGGCTAATTTGCTAGGGGTTAAAACAACAACACATCATTTTCATATAATTTTCTTTCAAGGTACAGTGGTACCTCAGTTGTCGAACGTAATCAGTTCCAGAAGACAGTTCAACTTCCGAAATGGTAGACAACCGAGGCGCAAAGGGCGGTCGGCAAAGTCAATGGAGGGAGGGGAACACAGTGAAAGCCGTTTGACTTCTGAGGCGTGTTCAAAAACAGAAGCAATTACTTCCGGGTTTTCGGCATTCCGGTTTCGAAATGTTCGGCTTACGAGACTCTTGAAAAACTGAGATACCACTGTATAGCAGGCACGTCCAACTCACAAGAGACTGTGATCTGCTCTCAGTATAGAAATTCTGGAAGTGATCTACCCATGAAGGGGGGGAGCCTAAGTTGCCACAGTTTTTTAAGTTGCCACCTTGGGGTGGGTGGGACATCAATCGCTCACCTATAACGATGTTTGGAGCGGTAACAACTACTTTCGTTTCTTAACTTGCCGGCAAAATACAATTAAAGACCGCCCATTTGACAAAACGGAGGAACAGAGCAACGGAGGAGGGGGGGCGAGGACTTTAAATACATTTAAAATAAAATAAAAGCAGATGTTAAAGTCAATCACTGGACAGGACTTTCTCACCCCAACTGCTGCTGATGTGTGCTGCATGTGCTATTGGGACAAGAGTAGCTGGGAGGCAAATGTGTTTCAAGGCCTCCCTCTAGTCCTCAAACATATCAACTGCCACTTTGTTACAGAATCTCTGGGCTACAACAGACCTCAGAACAACATATTAAAGTCCTCATGAGTATATGTAACATAGTGTTGGCAGTAATTGATGAGGTGGGACCACTGAGTCAACAGTGCAGTAAAATAAGTGAAAGTTGTTATGCCATGCATTTTGTATTCCTTTTAAACTGATAATTTATACCCCACCCATCTGGGCTGGGTTTCCCCAGGCACTCTGGGCAGCTTGCAGCATATCTAAAAACATAATAAAAATATCAAGTGTTAAAAACCTCCTGGTACAGAAATCCCTTCAGATGTTTTCTATAAAAGTTGTGTAATTATTTTATCTCCTTGACATCTGAAGGAAGGGTGTCCATAGGGAGGGCACCACTACTGAGAAGGCCCTCTACCTGGTTTCCTGTAACTTTGCTTCTCGCAGTGAGAGAACCAGATGAATATTTATTTTTCAAGTTATTTGTCTTGAATGAAGAATATATTGGTGGTCAGTAGAGTTCCTTGAAGAGTGTGCTGTATCCTTCTAGGTGAGGCATCAAGAAGAAAGCGTTCCAAATCAGAGGATATGGACAATGTCCATTCTAAACGCCGTCGACATATGGGTGAAGAATATGAAGCAGAATTTGAAGTAAAAATTACAACCAGAGGAGATATTAATCAGAAACTAGAAAAGGTAGAGTTGATTCCCGCTTATCTTGCAGACATTTGGCCTTTTAATTTCAAACACTTCTTTTCCACCAGCATCAACTTGCAAACATTTTGTCTTGAAGATCAGAATATTTGTCTGTGTTATGGTGAATTGAGTGAAAGGAAACTATTGTATTGTTATTAAGTTTCCATTGATCCCATCAGATAGAAATATTTAATACTGGAGTAGACCAATATTTCATATTTAGTTTGGCAACCGTCAGACCAGGAAATACATTCTTCCTCTTTAGCTCCTTATATCTGTGGTGAACACAGAGTAGACCGTGGACCACTGGCCAGTTACTGGCCGGCCGCCTGTTGGTTGTGGGGCCGGTTGTTGTTTTTTTTGCAAAGAATGCTGGTTAAGTCTTTAGTCCTAAGAACACTACTGATCTAACTTTTTAATTTACTAATTAAGAGTGTATACCGAACATCTCTTAAAATGGCTTAAGTAGGATCTTGCTGTATCGTATCAAGATCCTTATGCAATATAATCCTTAACATGTGAGATTAGGAAAGTCTCAGACTAGACTGATAGTATGGCTTGTGGCTTAGGAATGATGAGTGTTGTTGTCCAGCAACATCTGGAGGGTTCTCTAAATGGTATGCCACATGTAGTGCAGCCCTGTGCATGCTTGTTTATATGCAAATCAGTAAAGGTGATTTGTATAATGCACCCCAAAATAATATAATAATCAAAATAATCAAAATATATAAATACAGTTTCATTGACATTGTGGTCAAAACTGGGATAAATATATCCACTTAAATGGCTTGTTGGGAGAGGAAAGTCTTTAGTGGGTGCTGGAAAGACACTAGAAGATGTTGTCTATCTGTAACTTTCTATGTTATATACTAATATAACCCTTATATTTGTGCTCTAAACTATAAGAGGAAATCCCTTTTCAAATGCATTTTGTAAAGAACACAGTCTACAAATAAATATGGGACATAGTTGGCATTTTTGACACTACAAATTAACAAGTATGACTCTTCCTTTAAAACCATTAAGGGTGTGGATCCAAAAAGGACTGCTGAGAGTGACTTCACTTGCTTGCAAACACTGAGATCCAAAAAAGATTTTGCATAGATATGTTTAATGAAATTACATGATTAACAAGCAAAAGCCTAATTATTGACCTTAAGTTTTGTTTAAATACTAAAATAAAGTTTAATTAGATAACCTAATAAAGAGTTATGTAATGCTGAGTGACATACGTGCTAATTGTACTGTATATAAAATGTTAATATTAGCATTTTCATGTGTTTTCGTAGGTCATCCAGCGGTTGCTAGAAGAAAAGTTCAACGCACTGCAGTGTGCTGTGTTTGATAAAAATCTAGCAGATCTGAAAACCAGAGTAGATAAGATTGAATGTAGCAAGAGACATAAAACTGTCCTTACTGAATTACAGGTATATATGCAGATCTGCTTAAGACTTTGTGGCATTGTTTTTCAAAAAATATAAGTAAGGCTCCTGTTGGTGTGTGTAATTGTTCCTTCAGATACTAGTACTCTTTTTTTTTTCTTTTTTTTGTTTGTTTTGTGTTTGTTTTATCGTTTGTGTTGAAATACAATCTACATATCAGTTTAGTGCTAGTTTTTGGCAAAAGAAAAGGTTCTTTTAGGAAATGCTTGTTAAGCTGTGTTTCATGAGGAGCTACAGCTTAACCAGGCGTGGGTGGCGCTGTGGGTTAAACCACAGAGCCTAGGACTTGCCAATCAGAAGGTCGGCGGTTCGAATCCCCGCAATGGGGTGAGCTCCCGTTGCTTGGTCCCTGCTCCTGCCAACGTAGCAGTTTGAAAGCACGTCAAAGTGCAAGTAGATAAATAGGTACCGCTCCGGCGGGAAGGTAAACGGCGTTTCCGTGCGCTGCTCTGGTTCGCCAGAAGCAGCTTAGTCATGCTGGCCACATGACCCGGAAGCTGTACGCCGGCTCCCTCGGCCACTAAAACGAGATGAGCGCCGCAACCCCAGAGTCGGTCATGACTGGACCTAACGGTCAGGGGTCCCTTTACCTTTACCTTACAGCTTAACCACTCTCACAGAAGAGAAGGGTCTGGCTCTTGGGCAGCAATTATAGAAGCGAATGGAGGTGTAGAGAGGGATAAACTAAAATACTTTTTGAGATTGTATTTGATTTCTCTGTCATATTTCTCTTTTTTTAAGGCTAAAATTGCAAGATTAACTAGACGTTTTGGAGCAGCCAGAGAGGATTCAAAGAAAAGACAAGAAGTAAGGACAGATATTTTTATTATGTTTCTGATTACTGTTTAGATCAAAAAATTACCTTGGTGGTAATCAGATTGGACTTGGTGGTAATCAAATTGGACTTTATTGAAATGACCATAGCTCACAGTGAAGAACTTAAAAGACCACAGTTTTCTTCTTGAAGTAGGAAGGAGAAATAAAGATTAATACATTTATTCAGTTTTATGGACTCAAGCCCACTTCACTAGATGCATGGTGAAATCTTAGTTAACAGGTATATAAAGCAGAAAACAGGATGGCAAAAGTTGAATGTTAATGAGATGCAAAAGTATAGTCTGTGATTGGAATTGCTCTGTTATTTAACACCCAATCTGCTCTGGAGGGGTTTTGGTTGAGATGGCAATGAGATCTCTAATGCCGCCTTCCAAATGGGAAAGCAGAAGTGTCACCAGCAGAAACCCCTGAAATGGGGTATTGAGGGGGCAGAGCCAGAACAGGATCTGTGAGATCCTGAACTCTCCTACTTCTGCCATGTGACAGCAAACTGCCCCAGTTTAGGCCTCTTCACTGCACCAACCAGGGCACTTACTCAGCAAAGAGGCATTTTATGCCTCCCCAAGCATCCCTCCACCCAATTTTTCAGCCTTGTCTGGTGGGAGTAGTGGGACTCTGGATTTGGCAGTGAAGGATGCTCTGGGAAGCTCTCATACATGCTTGGGAGGCTCTCATAAGATCTTGGATGGCCCTTGTGTGCGTTTAATTTGTGTAATTTCAGTTGGCCAGCCATCAATAACATAAAGCTGCGATTGCGCAAGTTAAATATATGCAAGTTGTGAGTCAACTGTATAACGAGGTGCTCACAAAGCAGCTTAATATTTTTGGAGTCCTTACAGTAAAAAAGTATACCATGTATGCTTTGTGACTTTGAAGACATAGGTCTCACCTTGGTTTGCGTTACTTTTTAGAATCTACAAAACACACCCCATTCCCCAGGAAAAGCAGTGGGCGACACAGGCAATATCAACAGCGTGGCGTATCGGTAAGCTTTGAGAATATAGCTGTTACACTCATATTGTGGACTTGTGGAACTTGCCTTATGTACTTGGAATGACACATTTGCATAAAAATACAATATATCTTGGCTGATGGACTGGTTTTCCTGTTATATACTAGCCCAGTTCACACATCATATTTAACCGTAATTAAAAACAAAGTTTGGTTTAATGTGAACAATCTGCATGCTAGTGCACACTGTGCACATGTTGTCGTTCCACTTCTTCCCTGTTGCTGCACCTCTGCTGGGAAATAAGCCAGCATCTGACTTTTCATGACATCCAAATCCAAGCTCATTTCTTTCCAAATAAACCATGAGCATATCTTTAGATCTGTTCTTGGCTTACTACTGTGGTTTGTTTGAGGGAGACAAACCACAAGTCGAGGTTCATAACAGGCCAACAGCACAGAGACAGAGCAAGAACCACTGAACATGCTGCTAGTTTACATTAAACCATAGTTTGTTTTTCACTATGGTGTATAATGACATGTGAACTAGGTAGTTGTGCCCTGTTCTCTTCTACTGTTAAAAATATGAATGTTATTGTCAGTTCTCATGCAGTCATCAAAAATTAACATACCTGTATAAAATTAGAGACAATAATAGTTTTGGTTCTCAATTTTTCAGGAATTCAGCTTAATAATAATAATAATAATAATTTATACCCCATCCATCTGACTGAGTTGTCCCAGCCCCTCTGGGTGGCTTATTACACTCCTACACATATACAATGGAACTAGTGATATTGTGAGATACTGCTGAATAAATGGATAGAGATAAATTACTTCAAATTTCAAAAATAGCTTTCCCCTGTACTGCTCTTTGCTTCACCTAACAGCTAACAAGTACAGCTAACAAGAATCTTTATTCCACAGAAATGCCGGAACAGTGAGACAAATGCTGGAATCCAAGAGAAATGTAGGAGATACCACATCAAATACTTTACAGTCCCCTGTGAATACAGGTAGAATGTTTCTCATGTCTCAGATATGTATTTAACCTCTCCCCCCTTCTTTATCTAAGAAAAGTGCCTTATTATAAATCTTTCAGAAGAAAGTTATGAGTATCAAAAGCAGCAGCAGATGTTGCTCTCCTTTTTTGAACTCAGTGGTGACAATATATGATGTCTTGTTATAGAAACAACATCTATTCACTACTACCACCTTTTATTATTCAAGAGCTGTAATGAACACAGAAATGAAAAGTGTTTGCTCTCAGTTTTTCTGCTTAGTGCGGGACACTTCTGCTCTCCTGTGTTCTCTCTCGTCCCCTCCCCTGGCCTCTCCTTTCATAAATCAGTCCTGATATCAATAGTGCGTTTAGGGATGCCGCCATCTCATCTGAAATAAATGAAAGAACTACATGCCATAAGCATTCTGATGACATAGAGCCCCATACTTCAGATTAATTTTATCAGTTGTTTCATGTAGATGTTTCAAAGCAAAGAAGAAAAAACAGAAATTTGAGGAAGAATACTATTCTAGCACCACTTCCCATAACCTTCTGTCAAGAAAAGAAGCAGAACCACCACAACACAGCACACACACCACAATTTCCAACCCAGAAGAATACTGTAGTATTGAAAACTACTGGAAAATCCAGGGTTGTACCCCTTACATCTCTCCTCTGGCATCCTCCAAGAAGGATGCATTAAGCTTCATGCTGACTAAGAGGTTCAGTGTATGCCAACTAGCCCATTAGAAGCCAAGGAAAACAAGGGTTGCAAGTTAAGATTTCTGTTAGAAACTTGTCTGCTCTTGTCAGCATCCTCAGGTGTAATTAAATAGTACTCATCCAAACTACTACAATAGATGTTTACGTAAGAACATTTTCCATATCAATTCTGAAACCAAATATATATAAAAAATGTCTAGTAGCACCTTTAGAGACCAACGCATGCACACTTCTTCAGATATTCTGAAACCAATAAAACATCTAAGTCAACGCAGGTACTGATGCAACAGACAAAGAAAAAATTTGACATACACCTCTGTGTTGTAATATATAGAATGCTAGTCTTACTCTGTTTCCAGTGGCTTCCAAGGAATGCTGTTGGCCGATAATGTTTCAAGGGAACCACAGGGACAGAGTCACCCAAACTTTAAAGAAACAATGAAAATTGGGATTCCACAAAGGTTCCACAAAGAACCCTGTGAATTTGCAAAACAAATTTCTGTTCTGTTAAGCATAAACTTTTATGTGAGACAATTATCCTCAAAAGACCAAGGCTTTGCATGCAAGGAAGGGGTGTGTTACATAAATTTAGGGATTCGCAGATGTTGCTGCCAACTATTCAGGGACAGATTTTAATGGTTTAGGGCTTCAAACCCTTAACCATACAAATAAAATTCAAAGCTGTAAACCTTTGGTCATAAGATCTTTTAAAATTTCTAAAAGTTGCCAATCAAGGGGGAAACTCATATCAGTCAAAGCTCTCTAGAGCTAAAACTTTTTTACTGCTCAGTTTCCACCATTTGCACACAGTTTGCAAAACCTGCCTCACTCATTGCAAACAGGCTTTGTTGCCAAGAGCAGCCAGAAGGAAGTAACATTCATAGGAAACCTTTTTTCCTTCAAAAAATTCAGACTACCATCTGAATTATATCTCTAATTTAGCCATATAGTGGCATAGTATAGAAAAAAGAAGGAAACACACATAACTTGCTTCATGTTCTCCAAGTGGCATACATTACAAATAAACATGTCAGGTTAAATTTTGCATCTCAAGTCACTCTTGCTGCCAGCTTTCTCTACCAGTCTTATGTAACAAGATGTGTCTGACTCAACACTTGTGTCCTACACATACTCCCAAGAGGTTTAGAATCTTTTGCTAGGTTCTCTCTGTTTGAGAGGTTTGCTCTCCACATCAGTAACCTGTACGAGCAAGGCTTCAGAGTCACTCTCACCCTATTCTTGGTCCATGATCCAGTGAAGCATGGGGCTGTTCCGTGAGATCATTGAGCGGCAAAGAGGGGTTCCCTTTTGAGCTGTGAGCTACCCAACCATTGTACTATTTTTAGTCAATGTATCCTTATGGAAAGGGAATGACTAATAGTCATTAAAATTTTATTTCTTTGTTTTATTGTTTATTTCCTACATGTTTCTATCTTCTATTTTATTTACCATGGTCATTTTGAAATTTGAAAGGGCATGACCCCAGTGAGAAATGACTAATTGGTTATCTATATATTCCCTGAATTCTGAGATTACTTTTAGGGGAAGAGTCTATTATCTATGCAGAACTACAGGGGATGATAATTAAGTTTGCTGATAATACCAGCTTCCTGTGCTGTTCCTTACATTAAGTATTAAGAGGTCAGGATATTTAGAGTGCCTTCCAGGATACATTTTAAGATAAGGCCTTGTACCAAGTTTAAAATACTTAATTGGAGGGTATATTTTATATCAAACTATGACAACTTTACTGGTGCCATGATCTATAGAAATAAACCACAGAAAAAGGTTCTAATTAGCACACGCCATTACAAACATGTTTTAAAGAGTCAGTTCCAAAAGAATGTTCTCTATAATCATGATTCCTGTTTCCAGTCCTGTACAGGCTTCTTCAGTCCATCTTGACCTCAGATATCAAGTTGATATTTTCTACTGTATTGATGGAAGTAGTTTCAATTGGCATAGATTTTAAAAACAATTATCTTTTTACTATTTTGTAGTGTCTGCTACCCCTCTTAGTACTCCACAGACAGCTGTCAGTGGACATCCCAAACCACAGACTCCTGTCACCTCTGCACCCATTGACTTCTGGCTCCTTGTCAACTTCTGTTCTACCTGCGGCCAACACAGCAACAGTAGTCGGCACGAGTCAAGTGGCTGGTGGAACCGCACAGCCAATGTCTGTTTCATTGCAATCTTTGCCAGTAATACTGCATGTACCTGTTTGCAATGTCCTCCCAGCCTCAGATCCTGCAAGGCCATACTGGTACTTTGGTTACTAACCAGCAATCTGGCAACGTGGAATTTATACCTGTACAAAGTCAATCTAATGTTGGCAACTTGACCAAAAACTCCATTGTCTCTGTCATCGGCTAATTCAATAAAACCAAGCAGCTCATCTGTGGCCCAGCTCTAACATTCAGAGGAACACTTCGGCCGGTGTTGGGTGTTCTATAGGGACAACTCTAGCTGTGCAGGCTGTATCAACAGCACACCCTGTTGCACAAGCCGCAAGGAACTACTTTGGCTACTGTAAGCACATCAGGGGTGTATACTCCTCCCATCAATAGGAATTCCATACACGATGAAGATACCTCTGTCAGCCTTCAGCAGTACAACTCCTTCTGAAGCAAGCACTCCAGCAGCACCTAGAGTTGGTAAGTTTTATATGTCCACTGCACTTGCACTAGGGTAGAAAACTGGTGTACGGGGGAACATGTTGATTTGAAAGAAATCTGACTTTCAGAGTTCCATATTAGTACTCAGTTCACCATATATGATTGACAGTTAAGTGTTTTACAATGATTGCTGTTAAACTAAGTATATGTGTTATAAAGTACATTGCTTAATAGCCAATGAAATGTGGTGGTTTCTCGCCTCCTTCAGAGAGTCAAACATCCAGGTTGCTACTACCCTCGCTGCCACCAGCAGATATTTCAGCAAACAAAAAAGCACCTGAGGCAGCTGCACAGGTAGGTTGGTTTTTATTTTCTTTATATGGTTTCAGTTTCTTCCTCATTCAGTAAATCAACTTGGACGTTGTTACATTTTTAGCAAATACAGATTTTGTTTTCAAAATGCTAGCAGAAAATTAATGTTACTAAAAAAATTATACCAGTATGTGACAGGTAGTTGATATACAAGATTATATTTATTTTATTTACCACTTACATGCCAAAATGACTTCATCTGTGAAAGAACACAGATCTTTAACTAAAGCTTGAAAAGCCCTAACACAATTGAACATAAACCTTATGTGTGCTCCACCTACATGCATGGGGGTCAGGAACGTTCCCCCCTGTGTGAAATGGTCACTGCTTGTATATGTACCCTAAATTATGAGAAGAGGTAAATGTGTGTTTATATGGAAGAACAAGAGACTCTGCAAGTTAAAAAGTTAACTCCTGTAAAACTGTAAAACTCCTATAAAAATTAACAACAAATATAAGGACAGCATTAAAATGAAAAAAAGGCATTAAAAGGAGACTATGGATGCAGAGATATAAAAAAAAATCTGCAAAAGCATTTTCTTTAGAACAGAAAAGATCTTAATTAACATTTTAAAACTACAAGTGAGGAACTCAAACTATATCCTTGTCCTTTCTGTGTGTGCGATTATTCTGTCTGCAGTGTTTCTTTCTGTCCCGGTAAGATGTTATGTCTTTCTTTCTACCAGTTGTTGCCATGGGCGAAGCTGATATTCCATTGTTGTTTCAAAAAATTATCCATTGCTCCGTCCCGTGCTTTGTTGTTTTGCAACTTTAACAACAGCTGCAAAAATGACTGTCCCAATAAATAACCCGTTTTCACCATTTTCCCTCTCAGCCTGGGAAGAAGAGTGGTTTGTTGAACTGCAAATGATTCAGTAAATCTCAAATTCAAACTTTAAAGTCTTTGCAGTTGTTTATGTTCTGCAGTTTATGATCTCATCTTTCTAGCATGTGCCTGTACTTTAGTCCAAATTAACTAATTAACAGGAGAACCTCTGTTTTTTAATGGCGGAGGGTTTTCAGCAGGCTTTTGCACTCAGCGCCTCCCTGCCTCCCGCAATCCATGCCAGAGCGAGAGCCAGGTACAAGACGAACTGCAAGTGAAGCCCATTCCCCTTGTCCCTAGGGGAATTTGCAAGGAATAATTACCCTCAAACATCCTTGTTTTCCTTCGCCAACGATCTCCCCAGTCATGGGAGCTGCATCTATTCAGACCGGAACCGGAAGCCACCTTTGTACTAATATTAAAACATGTCTGTGCAGGCTTCCATAAACAAATTTTTTTATCGGGCACCAGAAG